GCTTGATGTATGATTATGGAATGATATCGGTAACTCCTCAAATTTTAAGTCAATGAAATTTGGGGCGTTACAGCATGGTATCAGAGCAAAAGGTTCTACTTTCCTGTAGACTTCAAAAAAAAAAAAAAATGTTTTACGTGATTGGTGACAAAAAAAAGGGTAAATTTATTTTTCTATCTGAAGGTAAACGCTTGTTAATTCAGTGTTTTAAGCTTAAGTATGTGATAAATAATTTCCCCCACCATGTCACGTGTCCAAATTGTGAGTAGTTGCACTGTAAATATGTGATGCATGCACATGTATATTAATCTAAAAGCATGATTTCATATTTTGTTACAGTTTCCATTTCAAATGTGGACTAATGACAGTTAGCTAGGACTTCATGTGACTATAATAATCTATTACCATGTGAGATGAACGACAAATTTTTTTTTTCTGTTTGATATTAAATGTCTGTGTGGCTTAATTATTAAGTTGATACTTTTAAAATGCCGATAATTTATAGTTAAATCATTTTTTTGTCATTACCCATGTTTTACACTACGTAAATTCTTGTTAGCTCTACTTTTTGAGTAATGTTTCATGTAAAAAAAAAAATATAATAATAATAATAATAAAAAATAAAAAATAAAAAATCATATTTCAAGATATTTCACTCTTGATTTATTGTTTGAGCTTCCATGACTGGGGTAATTGCAAAATTAAAAAGCTTTGTCAAAAAGACCTAAACTGTCTAAGAAGAGCTTGGGATTTAAGCGGTCCATCTGTGACCCCCCTCCTCAACTAGAAGTCTTTTAATTGCGCATTACTCAAATTGATGAGGCGAAAAACAGCATTTCAAAGCATTCTAGATATAAAAAAAAATGTGGTGGTTTGTCACTGTCATGCATCCATTCATTTATTTATCTTTAAAAAAAAAATTTAATTAAAAAAAATATATATAAATTTCTACAATGTATGATGTATTAAAATTTCCCAACTGCCTCTTGTATGTTTCATTACCCATACATATAAATCAAAGTGCAAGCTTCAAAAAATTGTTTTTAATTCGTATATTTGTAAACCTGTTAACAAGAAATGAAAACTTCGATAAACATTCTTTTAAACAAGAATCTTAACGAGGTTCTTGGTACCTAGCATCCACCAATCAACTACCATCTGACGGACCAAAGGTATTACTTAATATGCTTTATTTAAATTTAATTCTGAGCATGAGGTATACATTCTTATATCTGATAAGAAAAATGTCCGAAATGAGATAAATGTTATAGTATAAAATGCAAACATGATGTTAAACATATTGCTTCCATTTTATGAATTATTTTTCTAATATACTTTTAATGAACTACCGTTAGAAATATGATATTTTATCTACATAATGAGTTATGCGAACATAAAAGGCAGTGTGTTACCATTAATAAAATTTAAGCATAATTGAAATATACTTGTCATGTGATTAGGATGACTAGAAATAGCCCAACGTACCTCCAGCATGCTGAAATGGCCATTGAGAACTACATAAATTATGAAGTGAGATGGGAGCGAACTTTTGTTGAACACGTTGAAGATTTCCTTTCTAAGTGGGAGCGAGCAAGGTCGTTTGGATATAATGAGGGGACAATCCTGTCGATATATCACCTTATAAGCACTATGTGACCTCAATGGAGAGACGTGGCTTATTTCGTGAGGGACATGGACTATGATTTATATTTGGAAGAAGATTGGGATAAGATTGATTTTAAAGGATACTGTGAAGATATCATATTTTTATGGAATCACAGACAACAAGCACCAGCACCCGAGCCCGAACCCGAACCCGTACCCATACCCGAACCAGAGCCAGAGCCAGAGCCAGAGGAAGACCTAGAGGAGGACCCAGAGGAGGAGATCGAACCAGAGTTAGAAGACCCTGAGCAAGAAGTCCAACCACAAAATTTCATTGATTGGGTTATGGATTCGGAGCCTGAGTCATGCATTACTTCGGATGACGAGACTTCATAAAAAGACGATTTTTAGGACTCACTGGAATTAGAAATAAGTGTTATTTATTTGCTTAGAAAAAGTTTGATTATTTAATTATTTATTTGATTTAATTATTATTTTTTTTTTTAAAAAAAAATTTTTCTATTTTAAGGATTTGGAAATTTATTATTACAAAGATTATTAATAATATTAGAGTGTTTTATCAATTTTTTTTCTTCTAAATTAAAATTTTATTTGTGTTAAGAAAATGTCGAGACAACAACAAAATCAAGCTACCATCATCAGGGATTTGCTAAGGGCGGTACAAGATTTGGGTAGACAACAAGCACAGGCTGGCCCTGCTAGTGCAAACACTAACAACACTAACTCAATTGTGGAACAGTTTCGTCGTTACAAGCCCCCTACCTTTAATGGGATAACTGGCCCTCTAGCGGCCGAGGAATGGATAAGGGGTTTGGAACGAATTTTCAAGCATCTCTCTTGCACCGATGCCCAAAAGGTTTTATGTGCAGAGTTCATGCTAGTTGATGCAACTGGCCACTGGTGGGAGTCCGTTTCACGGACTAGGACTGAGGCACAACAACGTAACCTCACCTGGGCACGATTCAAAGAGGAAGTGATGGGAAAATACTTTCCACAAGCCCTGAGAGATCGTAAGGAGACAGAGTTTCTGCAACTTAAGCAGGGAAAAATGACATTGGTTGATTATGAGAGGAAGTTCGAACAACTTTCTAGGTATGCAGCGCATCTAGTGAATACAGAGCAAAAGAAAGCTAGAAGGTTTGAGCTCGGACTACGCCCAGAAATTGGAGGAATCATAGCATCTCATGAATTTACCACGTACAGTCAAGTTCTACAACGAGCGCAAGCAATTGCAAATCGACTAGAACTCGATCAAACAACTCAAGAAAGTACTGAATTTTCAGGAAAGAGGAAATGGAATGGGACGAACGAAGGTAAAGGAAATGGACAAAATAAGAGGGCTAGTTTTGAAAGGCGGTTAGAGTCAAACAAGCCGAATAGTGTTCTTACTCCTTGTCCTAAGTGCAATAAGGCTCATAGAGGTGAGTGTTTGTATGGAAAGAATGTATGCTATCGATGTGGAAAGCAAGGTCATATTGCTACCAATTGTCAGGAACCCCCACCAAAGAGGGACAACGATCAAAGCAAAAAGGGACCGGCTAGAGTCTTTGCTTTAACCCAACAAGAGGCAACTGAGAATTAGGACATGACAGCAGGTAATCTATCTATATCTGAATTACTTGCCTATATTCTTATATGCTTAGGAGCT